TGATGAAATTGAGGGAAGTATCACAGATAGAATAGTTAACATTGGACTAAAGAGAAATGTAGAAGGTATAATGAATACACTAAAACCTACTTCCATAGCCTTGGATAAGCTACAGAAAGATTGCTGCTATATTGCAGATGGTGTTGAAATTTGAAAAGAACTTCAAGAAACAAAGCAAGAACTACCCAACAGCAAAGATGAATTTCAGGCAGAAAAGCAACAGATGGATCAAGCATCTATTCTACCTCACTTTCTTGCCAATATTCTTGACACAAAGTACCACATAAATGTCTAACTGCCAAACAGGAAAATGCTGCTCTGACATAAGCATCTATTAATCATCTATCAGTCATGCCAGTCATAATCTTCAGAGCTAGAAATGAACCATACAAACATACTGTACATGTTTGCTAAGGATGCTGTATAAAGAAAGTCACACCACTGAACTGGTGGTGGCCATTAGCAAAGCACCTGGAAACAGCAATTTATTGAAGTTCTAAACCTGGTTTTACCAGCAGTAGCCTTTTCTGCAGGTGCAGAAAAGAATATTTTCTTCATTTGGACTAGTTCATTCAAAGCTGAGAAATTGATTGGGAGTCAAAAAAGTAGAAAAGTTTGTTTTCCTCTTCCAGTCTATGCATAAAAAGGGGGGAGAAGGATGAGTTTTGAGTTCTAAAAATTTGAAAGGGGGTAAAAAAATTTAAGACAGCTTGGTTTAAAAAAAGTCTAATTATAAAGTAGGAACTTAAGCTCAAATAATTACATTTGGTATGACAGGGAGCATGCTCAGAGCTGAGTCTCAAGCCAGCCCACCCACCTGACTGTGGGGCAGTCTGCCCAGTTTAGTCTGCCCTGACTTTACTCTTACAATAATCTGGTGGTAAATATAAGTTACGTGTCCCGGTGCTGGGGGGGGGCGGGTGCTATCCACAGTTCCATACCATCCCTACACCATGGCCCATGCCTCGTAGATGCCATTATATCTTCTTAATGGCTCCAGCCCAAGGCCAGACTTAAAATCACCTACTGTTAAGCCTATTTCAGTCTGCCCAGTTATGGGCCTCATGTATACAGCCCCCCTCTCACAGGGTTTTCTTACACTCTCCCTGCTCTCACCAGGGTTTCTCATACTGCCCCTCTTGGGCCACACACACACCCTTCCCTTGCATCCTGAGCAACCCCATAGGGCCATCAGGCTTAATCCCCTGCTCTCCTCGCCCAGCAGGCACACAGCCTTTTGGGCCTCTCTCATGCTCTTATCTGAATGGATGCTGGGCAATTCACAGAACTGAGGCTGACTTCATCCCACAACCCCTTTTGGGCCACTTTTCTGCCCCTGTCACTCTGGGGCCTCATTCTCTGCCCTCTCTGGGGCCTTCCTTTCTGCCCCCTCACCAGGGCCAGGGCTCTCTATGATCTTCCATCCCCACCGCCCCAGTAGACTCAGGTGCCTGCCTAGGCATGCCTTGCCAACTGGTTCCAACCAAAAACCCACCAGATGGTGGAGGCTAGGGTTTAGGCACCCTTCCCTACCTTTCACATGGGAGGCAACTGGGCTGACATCTCTTGGGGACTCCCACATCACCAGGAGCCCCACCAGGCCATCCTGCCCCAACAGGGTGCAGTTCAGGTCATACCCAGGACTACCGAGGCCTCCTTCTTCCCTTTATCTCCAAGGTTGTTCCTGGCCCATGGAGCTCAGGAGGGAGATATTCTTGCCCTGCTGGCTGGTCTCAAAATGGCCCCTCTTAGCCCAGAATGCTGGGCATTAAATGGCCACCCTAATCAGGCACCTGCTCTCTTCCTGGCCTAGCCTTTAAAGTGATAGGTACCAAAGGTGCTCTGTCACATCTTGGCATTTTAGAAAATCTTCCCCAGGGTGAACTAATTGGTTTAATTCACTAATCACTGTTCATGTTTCTACTACTATATAACAGTTAATACTAGTGTTTAAAAATTAGTTGTAAACATGCACCATGTTTTAATAAAAGAGAGGTTTCTGTATCCAAAACATTAAAGTTTTTTTAAAATAAATTTGAAGTTCTGGTTTTGTGTGTTTTAAATTCAAGTCGACATCTTAATGCAGCTTGATACAGATTTGAGCAGAAAGTTAATCATTTAGTGAATAAGAAATATATATTCCACTGTTTCGTAATACACTGAAATGTAAGATTTCTAACCATCCAAATATATTAAGCGATAAATTGTGTGTGTGTAGTTTGTGAACCTAGGAATGTGTGTACCAAATCTAGCAGTTGTAAGTCAACATGGTTTAATTGTTATTTCATCAACTAGTGAAAAGACACCTTTCTTTAAAATGTACATGTACATACGCTCACCCAAATAGAGTAATTGATAAAAATCAGTAATTTAAATTGGGCTTTTGGGAGGGTGGATACAAATCAACAATTTATTTTAAAAATCAGATTTCTTATTTAATCATTTTTTATTTTAGTATTTTTTTTAAATGTATACAATGTAAAAAATTAAAACTATTTTATGTTAAAGCTCAAAGATACCACCATGGAAAGGGACATATAACTTCCAATTATATACTATTTACAACAATATATTCATGTAACCTTCTTATATAAAACTTTATATATAGGTCACAACAGGCCATGGACTAAGGGGTCCGATCTTACAGGGTTCCCAGAGGCTCCTCTGTAGACTAGTAAAGATTAACAAAAACCACTCTACCCAATGGGACTCAATGCTCACTCTAGAAGATCCCATTAAGCATCTCTGTGATGCTTAGTTTTACTTTTCAAAACTGTGGATCTGTCTCTCTGAAGGCAACATTCTTGTTAACAGCCGTATATGGAGATAAGCAATAACAGACCTGATTTACCTACCTTTCGGCCCTGTTGTCTCTTTGCAAGCTTGTGTACATAGAATTGAGCCCTTACCTCTCTCCCTAAAAATGCAAAATTTCAAGAAGTTAAATGAATAGAGGATTGTTGGGTGTGGAGTAGATCTCCCATGCCACTAGGAGCCCCACCAGACCACCCTTCCCCAGCAGGGTGCAGTTTTATGCCTTACCGAGGACAAGGGATCACCTCCTCCCCATACCACCTGCTCTCCTGACTCTGGCCGGAGCAGCCTCTCGGCCTGATGTTTTCTCCTTCCTTCCTGCAGCAAACTGCAGCACAGCTCATATTCCTGGGCCAAAATGGCTGACCTCATCAGGCACCTGGCTGCTACCTGTTTGCTTCTCTTAAAGTGACAGGCACCAAACATGCCCTGCCACACAGTGCAACAAAGAAATAGAAGGCCTAGTTGCCCAAATGAAATATCATCATGAGAATTGCTCCTTCCCAGGAGAAAGCTGCTTTGAAGATGGTGAATGGAACATTTAGGATCTCCAGGTTAGTAAACATTCTTATATCATGCTTCTTTCTTAAGGACTGCCTGTCTTCCCTGTCCATATCTTTTGAATGGACTACTTGAATTCTCATAAAATATTTGAGCAAAAACATAGTTGTTACTTTATGGAACTATCATATTTTAATGCAGCTGTGATATAAAAGTGATGGCTGAAATAGGCAGATCTTTTAACAGTTTCATTTCTATAGTAGTACTGAGTGCAATGAGTAATACTAAATAAGCAATACTGTAATGACTGCATTGACTTCTTTTGTTCAGGAGGATCCATCCTCATCATACAGGATTCCTACTATCCATCTTCAACATCATCATCACTGTCTACGTTTTCACAGTTATCTGCTAATGGTACCAGTGTTCCAGTCAAGTGTACGTCACGTAGTACATCACCTGTAGCAAAAAGGAAAAACAATCTCCATCATCCAGAAACAACCATAGAAGAGTTTGTAATAAGAACAAGCAGATTACAGCAAGAGGTAACTGATGAAAAAATGCTCAGTTTGTTTATGCAACAAACTCTCCATTCCATATGGTTGAGAACACACACTTCACTAACATGGTTTGATCATTACAACCAGGATACAGTCCACTTAGAGCAGATATAACAGGTGAATTGCTGGATAAAGTGTACGAGAGAGAAAGTGAACAGTGTGTAAACAGTCTACAGGGGAAAATTGTTAACTTGAGTCTTGATGGGTGGAGCAGTGTCCACAATATTCTAGTAGTATGTGCTTGCATGACAACAGAAGAAGGGACTGTCTACCTTACAGAAACAATTGATACATCCGGAAGTGAACACACAGCAGAACACTTACAAGTAGTAGCAGTAAAAGCTATAAGAAACTTAAATTAAATGCTGGAAATGTATCAAAGATGAGAGGAAAGCAAAGAAAGCCCCAAGCTAATAACTTTATGGCTTGCAGTGCTCATTTGCTGCACCTCTGAGCCAAAGACTTTAGTACTCCAGAAGTAAAGGCTAATGTTGATACTGTAAAATATTTCCATAACAACAACTCTGCAACAGCTGCTCTGAAGAAAGCAGGAAGAACCAAACTAACTGTTGCGTAAGGTGTGTGATGGAACTCAGTAGTGGACTGTTCTGAGCGATATATTGAGAACTGGCCTAATTTGATGACAATTTGTGAAAATGGTGAGAAAATAGATG